CGAATCCCTGCCACTAGACCAAGTGAGAACCTCACCCTCCAAAGGTAAATCAATAAGATGGTGACTATCAATAAACTCCGAAAATTGTGACATAGCCATTGTCCATCTCCCACCAGTAGATCTCTCTATCGGGGACCTTACAACATCAAAGTCCCCACCCACACACCAAGGAAGAGACCAAAACCCCTTCACAAAACTGAGCTCCTCCCAAAGCAAATGTCTCTCACCATCATCCACCGGCCCATAAACCCCGGAAGAAAGCCCATCTAAAACCGTCCTCCGCCAAAAATAAACACACGAGATAGAGAATGTCCCTCTCCAAATGTCCACCCGAGTCAACCATCTCATATCCCACATGACAAGGATACCACCCTGAAGCATCCAACTCCACCCAATCCACAAACGTATCTCCCCAAAGGCTCCTGGCCACCCTATCCGTCATAAAAGCAATCTTGGTTTCTTGTAAGCACACCACATGAGCCCCCCACTTTCTCACCGCCAACTTAACCACTTTCCTCTTGTCCGAGTCATTTAGACCACGGACGTTCCACGAAAAAATTCGGAGCTTCATGAGGAAACAAAATCATTCACCACCCCCTCCACTCCTCCCTCTTCCTTTCTACCTCACCGACCACTCATTCCCCTCACAATTAATGTAACAAATAAGATTCTTCACCTCCCTTTCCCCTTTCATGAGGGGGGGTTCTTCCTTCTATTACCCCTCCTCCAGGACTTTTTCTTCGCCTCCCTTGCTCTCCCCTCCATAGTCGCATGAAGAAGCGAAATAGCTTGTTCCTTTTTTCCCTCAAAAGAGGCACCCAACAGTTCGCTAGTGATCCCAATATTCTCCTTCACCCACTCCTTACCTAAGTCAACATTCTCCTGCACCAAACCAGCCACCTCCAAACCAACCTGTCTCACCACAGCCAAAAGATCAACCACCCCCAAATTAGCATGATCCTCCTCTGCCCACAGGATTAAATCAAGAGGCCCAACTTGTCGGTCCCTCACCCCACTTCCCTCCCTGCACTCCATCCCCTACACATTATCTGCACACACCATCCAATCAATAAGGCTATCGCCCACACCTTTCGACCTCGCAAACTCTGGGTTATTAATGTCAGAAAAAAACCTATGTTTTTTCAATTCCTGAACCAACAAAGTTGCCGACTCATCGCTAAGGGTGATTTGAATGTCCTTACCAACGCACACTGTCATGTTCTTTGAATTTCCACACACCCCATCCATCTGAGGCCTCAACCTTACCACAGAGCTCCGAACTATCAGTCCTCAAGCAATTAGGCTCCGATAGCCTCCCCACATACCCGCCAGAGAAAGAGGACTGAACAGAGCAAGAAGAATCAGAGAGAAATCCAGAAACCCCCAAGGTATTCAAATTAGCATCGGACCCAATCGACACAACTGACGTCCCATCCCTTTCTGGCATCGCAAACACCCTAACACTACCCGGAACCAACACAGTCACCACTTCCTCTGTTGTCGCCTCCATCACATGCGTTAAAAACTGAGGTATAACCAACTTCACACCACAATCCTCCCCCACTCTCACCACCCCACAAGGAGTAAAAGAAGGAGGAGCAAAAGAGCTCTGAGAGTGAGGTAGGGAAAACTTACCATGATCAACCGCCAAACTATTATGGGCAACCCACTTCTGTTTATCCTTTCTAGTCCATCTTCTTCCAAAACCTCTATGGGTGCAAGTACCTGTTATCTGGGTCAAATCAAGAATATATAGATATATATGGGGTAATATCACTAAACAATGTGAGGAATACAAAAGAGATGAATAAGGGAGAGAAAATCAGTCCAACTTTGGGGTTGAACTGATGGTAGATGAGAAGAATAGTTCCTGAAAAACTTGGCAGAGACCGATTATGGAATTCTTGTTGATCTCTACTGTTCTGCCTTTATCCTTTCCTTCACCCTCCTTTTTATAGCACTAGGTACTCAAGCCTTTACCCATTGGCCCCTCTGTGGGGCATGGTGCCCCTATCCCTAGCCTTTTCGGACCTGTTGTCAGGTCGGTGTACCTTTTTCCACCCTTTAGTGCCTATACCGCCAAAAACAGGCATGGCAATCATTAAATGTGGTTTGGCATATTAAGGTCTCTGCATTTGTTTCAGGTTTTCTCTTCACTTTTCCCCAAGTTGGGTCTACCATCGCAAGACTTGAAGCTGATCTTCCATCCTCCATTCCAAATATCCCTGAAGCATTCCCAATGGCCTTGAAGAGTCCTACCACTACTCTTTGTCATTCTGATCGTGGGGCGCTTGAATAAGCGCTCCTAGGCTCAAAGCTCTAAGTCCCTTGTTTAGCAATTCGTGTTCCTAGAGTCAGAGGCTCTACGCCCATCGAGCGACTGCCCTACCCCAGCCTATCTTAGGACCATCGATTGGCATGTCATGAGATCGAACTTCTAGGTCCGCCAATCAACGATTTTTTTAGCCAGATCAAGGTTCCCAGCCATCAACGGGTGGTTCGTGGCTTGTCGACTTGAGACTATGTTCTCAAGCCATCGACGGTCGACCGGCAATTCATCGCTGGATCGAGGTTCTAGGCCCATCGATCGATTGTTTGGTCAGATCGAGGCTCTGGGTCCCACGATCAACAAGTTGTGGCTTGGTCGGATCGAGACTCTTGGGTCCATCAATCGACAAGTTGTGGCTTGGTCGGATCGAGGCTCCGGGTCCATCGATCGACAAGTCACGGTTTAGTCGGATCGAGGCTCTGGGTCCATCGATAGGCTAATCATGGCTTGGTCGGATCGAAGCTTTGGGTCCATCGATCGACAAATCGTGGCTTGGTCAGATCAAGGCTTTGGGTCCATTGATTGATATTTTGTAGCTTGGTCATATTGAGGCTCTGGTCCATCGATCAACAGTTGGATTGTTTTCCAATTCCTCGAGGCTTAGTTCCTTGTTGCGAACTTATCGCTCGGCTATTGATGTTTTTGCTGAGCTGGTTAGGGGCTTGTCTATCGACCAAGTGTTAACCACTTGTTCCTGCTTTTTCTTAAAGCTTGAGGTGGCCCGTACCGAGATGACGTCAGACTATATTGACTTTTGCTGACGTGGCATCACTTATATCCACAGTGCTCTAGTCCCTCCCTTCCATCCCTAAAAACAAGGCCACCATCATCCGTAGTAGCACAACCAGAATCAACATGGAGCAACCCAAACCTATTGTCGGATGTCATCTTTTTGCAACTAGCACCGTGCCAGAAAAATTTCCCCACCCTACCAGCGCCGTTAATGGTGGAACTGACCTTCATCCACATATCCTTGTCGGCTCTTGACCAATGCCTATCATCAGAGAAAACATCCGACTCAACAGTGGGCCTGCACAAGCCCTTCTGCAACGAGGAATGAGAATGGACTTGGACTGGCCTTATATCCTTGGACCTCCTCCTTCCATCTGGGCTGGGCTTCCCCCCCCCCCCCCCCCCCCCCCACCCCCCTGCGGACACTAAAAAGCACTTAATTGGGCCCCAAGAAACAACTCTTTCTTTTGATTGGGTAACAAGACTTTTAGCAGGCTTAAAATGTTAAGGCCCAGAACAAGAACAACTCCCATTAAGCTTGGGCTTATTGCAGCCACACCCATCAGCAGTGGAAGAACTATGGGCTTGCCCATAAATAGGCCCATAGTTCATAAATCCTAAACAATCTATCCAGCCCACAAGTGCGGAGTCAGGAACTGACTTTATTGCCCTCATTTTTTTCACCCATTTCAGCCTCATGTTTGTCTACAGCCAGCCTGAAATTCAACATTTAACAATCCACACAAAACATATAGGTCCAAAATTTGGGACATTCTCATAATTTATATAGAATTATTTCATAGCAAAACAGAGAACTTTACTATTGTATAGTTAAGAGGGTATGATATCATCATAAACAAGGAAAGTTGGTTAGTCCCTAAATAGTAACCCATGGATATTTTCAACTTTATAGCCAAAAAATGTGAGTGCTTTCTTCAGCCACATTCTGGAACTTTTTTGTTGCCTTGTCTAGAAAGTTGTTTCCTCAAAACTTCCTTGTCCCAAAAGAATGTACCCAAGTCACTCATATGCAGGACAAACGAGTTGATAAAGAATGATCCACCATTTGCTATTTTCCAACTTATGCTGATTCAAGAATTTGTGATGAGGATTTCAGTGACGAATTTATCCATCTCTTTGGTCTTTCTTTGCTACTTCTGATTCACTAGCTCACAGCACATTTCTATTTCTTTCTCGTACATGCAGCTGGTACCACGCCCACAAGAACCTGGGGTTGGTGTCATGGTAGAGGAGAGCCAAAATAAAATTTGTAGTCACAACTTTACAGCATGGACCATAAAAAATTTCCATTTGGGCTTTGGCTGTGGCTCTGAAAAAAGATCATTCATGCTATCCATAGTGACACGATAATTTGTGCAAGTGGCCTCTAAGAACCAATCCAATTTAAGCAGGGTGGATAATCATGTCAAGAAGCCATGTCTATGTTGAGCATGTCAGGCACAAACATGGATCCAATCATCCAACACGGTTATATGTGGTTCTTACATATATAGGATGAAAATTAGTTTTTAAAATCAAATTTTATAACTTCAAACATATGCAGAGCAAAGGTTGTCAAGCAGTAGTTCACTGAACTACAATAAATTTCCATCAGCAAACTATCCAATGACAAATAAAAAACCTCGAGATCAAGTAAAACAGACTAAAATTAAAACTCATATCTAGTATGACGCAAAACATTACAAGCCTTCTAATACCAATGGCAAATTTAAAATATGGAAGGGCCACACTTTTTGTGATTGAAAGACTGCTATCAATTGCCACAGAATATGTTAAGTTAGTAATGATACCTAATTTAACAAATAAAAATTTGATCACTGAAAATTTAGCTTGCAAGCGATACAGTAGCAAGGTTATACATTTTTATTAAGCCAGAAAAAGGAAATTGAAGGATAATATGTATTAGCACGTCACATACCAGTCCAAGAAGGTTGCCCACTACAATCGAACCAATGGGATCATAAATTGGATTCCCTGTGACATTAACAGCAACCAATGATGCAGCAGCAATAGCAAGGCCAGTAACTGCAGCACCATCCTGCATGTATGAATCATATTAAGTGGAATAGATGAAGATGGTAACAGTAGCATAACAATTTGGTATGGTTAAAATAAAGGTGCAGCAGCAATCATTGCAGATCATAACAAACTACCTCAATATTGATAATCATAGCAAGCGATGTAGTTAACATAACAACTTAAGAAAAAGGGGGAGGGGCAATAGGAGCAAAAGAAGATGAAGAAGAACACCCAAACAAGAGAGAGAGAGACAGAGAGAGAAGGAAAAGAAAATGCTACGAAATCTTAAACGCTCGGAGAAAAAGTAGTTCATAAAGACATAAAGTGTGACCTTTGGAGCTTCTTGATAATAAGACATGGGATGGCACAAAAGAGAGCTCTATAAACTACAACAAAAAACAAAATTTTACAAGTTTAAACTTGCTGTTTCTCTCGAAAGTGGATAAGCTTTCCATTAACAAATTAGTACTTCCTTCTCTAAATTTCTCTCCAATGGTTTCAAAGCAGGAGGATTCTTCAATTTCAGTTCATTCCTTATGGATCCAGGAGATTGAAATTACAATGTCCTTCAGTACTTTGGTTAATGTTTCAGGTGTATGCTTTGTCTTAAATGAGACAAAGTAAGATGCTACAAGTTTAGCTCATATACACCATTTCTGACGTCATAGTCAATAATTTTTATAATAAGTCACATATTCAATGAGACATAAGATGAGGATAAAAATATTATCACCACTTAACTTCAAACAACAAGAGGTGAACAAACTATTACCTCTGTCATGACTGCAACAGATGTGGGATCATGACCACGCCAGACATAGTCTCTCACTTTCATTCCTTCTGCAGCTGCACCTTTCCTAACAGCACGTATGGCCACAAGAAGGGAAGCACCTACAGAAAATAAGGAGTTATTTATGAGGAGAAAAAATGGAAAGAAACAAAAAGAAGGCATTCCGGCAGCCAACTATTACAATTCAATGAATTGGACCTTCAATAATGAATGAACCAGCAATCACCAAAGCTGCATACTTAATATTTCCAGGGGGCTGAAGAAAACATGCATGTAAATCAATAAACCTCAATTGGGTGCAACAAGGGAGCAGCTAAATATCATGAATGAGAAAAATGGATTTGATCAAAATCAATTGCTTGTTACCTGTGAAGTCCACAAGTTCTGAACCCCATTAACAATTGTAGCACCAGAACCAAGACAAAAGATACCAACGGCAGATATCAAAGACCAAACAAATCTTTCTTTTGAATAACCGTAACTGAAAATGTAAAAGAAACTGATTCAGTGCACTCATAAACAATCAGCGTCTGCATACAAATATATGTAAGAGTGCATGTATGTTCTTAAATTCTATATGAAAATTCCATCAGCCACTCAATCTTAAATTGGCCTTTGTATTCTAAGAAAGAACACCCATTTGTTGGAGAAGTAATATGATCGCTATGAAGTTATTCAGCTTTTTAACTCACCATCAAACACTTCCAATTTGACTGATTTTTCATGTTGCACCAAAAGATATCACAAGGTCTTCATTGAGTACAAAAATTAGAAAAGCGAAAAAATAAAATAAAATAAAAAGAAGCAGTGATCATTTAACACCAAAAACTGCCAAAAGAGGTCCTGCAAATTTTGTGGTTTCTACAGGTAAGCATTCTGTATCTCTAATATCAAATAAATTTGGATACGTATGTAAGATGTTATAGATGAGAAATAGTCATATGCCAAACTTTTTAGTACAGAAATATTAATGATGTCATGGCTTGTAATACAGAACACTCACGGGTGGAGAGCATCCGGGGCACGTCTTGAACTACTCAGACCATAAGCAAGAAGTGCCTACAATGTGAACATAAATTAGATTCTCTGCATTCATTAATTATCCGATAGCATTATACCACAAAATAAGATGTTCATGCCAGCAGGGAGGTAAACAGCACACATACCTGATTTGCAAAATCTGCAACCGAGTGCACAACTTCGGCCAGCATGACATGACTTGAGGTGGTTAACCATACCCCAAACTTGAGAGAAAAAACAAGGAAGTTGCACCATAATGCAGTTGTGACAGCTTGCTGGCTAGAATTAAAATATTTTAGTCAATAAATAAATGAGAATTAAATTATTATATTTGTTAGGACAGTAAAGTAAAACATTATGAGTACTCAAAATCTTCAAATGGAAGCAAAAAGTAATGTGTTAAGATAACAGGTTAAAATGAAAATTATAGAGCCTGCTACTCTGTAATTATATAACATTCAGCATGGTAATAAATATGCAAGTATTAAGGACATTGTCCACTGTAGGCCTTGGATCCAGTAATAAAGGAGAGGGATAAGGTAATAATGGGATAGGCCTCAAGATCAAAATTTACATAGCCCAAAAAGGAAAATGTTGAGAAGGACATTATCCCTTTCCATTATTAAAATGGCTCTTAAGTTATTTATATTATATCTTAAGTCATCTACATAGACATAGATTATGTATGTAACCAAACTAGTATTAATTTTAAGACGATATCTTTAGGAGTTTTCCTTTATTTCCCTTATCTGGTTTACATATCTAAATCCTTTTTATCTATAAAAATATTATAAAACAAATCCTACTATCCTCAAATACCCATTTCTATGAGGCATCGACATATTGTGATTAGTAAGACTGTAAGAACATAGTTTGAACAGCTGAAGCTGACATCCAGTCAACAACCATCAGCATCGTTAACAGCTGAAGCCATCAACTTTAGGTACAGAACGTGATTTTTAGTCCATCTTATCCTCCCAAATATAATCATAATTATTTGCAAATATTACTTTAAAGATCCAGATTTATAGTTTTGACTGATCTGGTGATGGCCTGAAGGGTGATCTAAAGTTCGCCAATTTAAAATGAGGATAAAACACCAATCAACCACAGTTAAGCTGCCAAGGAGGAGTTTTCTACCTATACTTGTAAGTTGGCTACTTCATCCATCTAAGGTCTGTTTAGTTGCTGCAAATTTGCCTAAGTTCATAATTTTCACCAGCAGGAGTAATTGGTAGTACGGTACTGGACTTAATAGAGAATCTATTTAAGATGAATTAATATCCATACAGCTACAGCCAAAATCTACAAAACACAGACACTTTCTAGAAGGATCTGTGTTTGTGTTGGACACCAACACTTCTCATACACTCCCTTGTACACATGTTTGACATATCCTGGAAGCACCATATTTTAAAAATAAAATACTTGGTTTCAGACAGATGATTGAGACTTCTTGAACATGTGTTAATATGTGCCCGATAAACCTTGAATGCTTGATAAGACTTTCTTTTAGCACAGAAAAAAAGATGAACAATTGGGGGACAATCAAATTAAAGTTTTATAGAAAATTTAATGACCATATTTCAGAAACGAGTATATGGAGGGCAAATTTAATAAAAATTCGGATATTGATAATATAATGATAGCATTTCAAAACCAAAGGATTACTCAAAACAACCACTTTCAGTATCTAAGATTGATAATACAAAAGGATGGAAGGATAGGTAATGATGTAACCAGTAGAATTGGAGGAGGTTGGACATTTTGGAGGCAAGCTAATGGGATTTTATCTGATAAAAGAATAACAGATAGGCTAAAAGGTTTATGTGATCAGTCAATAACACATAGGCTAAAAGGTATACTCTATACGACCGTTGTAAGACCAACTATGTTGTATGGAGCGGAGTGTTGGGCCCTAGAAAAGAAACAAGAATGTCTTTATGTAGCTGAAATGATAATGTTAAGATGGATGAGTAGAGTGATTAAAAGAGATAGGGTCACTTATTAAAATGTGAGAGGAAAATTTTAGCCTAGGGGCGCGAGGTCAAATGAGGAAGACTAGTTGTAATAGAAGGTAAGAGACGGAGAGAGCAGCTAAAAAATAACATGGACGATGTTATTAAAAATGATTTTAATAGAAAAGCTTGGAAAGAGAGGTTTCATGTGGCCGACCTCTTTCATATGTGATTAAGGCAATGATGATGATGAAAATCTTACCCATTGGTGAGAAAATTTGAGATAGTAGACTTTAAATGGTTTGGACATATACATCATTGACCTAGGGACGCACGGTCAAACGAGTGTAATAAAAGGTAAGAGACAGAGAGGGCGGCCAAAAAATAACATGGGATGAGGTTATTAAAAATGATTTTAACAGAAAAGCTTGGAGAGAGAATTCATGTGGCCGACCCCATTTATATGGGATTGAGGCAAGGATGATGATGATGATGATATCTTAGAAACAAAAAAAATGGAAGTTCTATCAAAGGATTGCAAATTGGAGTAGAAGAATGAGTGATCTAATTATGTGCCTACATATACATGTTCATGTATATAATCCTATATAATATACACACACACCTACATTCACAAACACCCCACACAAATTTACGATGTGTCCTTTTTATGTCTCTCTCTCTCTCTCTACAACATTGGTGATTATGATTATAATATTGATAATTACAAATTTCATTTGCAATCACATATATTTATTTTTCCTCTCTAATAATTTGATTTGATATATATATATATATATATATATATATATATTACATATTATTACCTTGCCCTCAGGGTGTATGTGCCTACCCTTTTAAGACTTTCTATCTCAAACATGTCTGTCTCATGTGCTATATGTGCTTCTTCGGTCAGCATCCACAAAAGCAACGTCTCCGGAACAATTTGCACAACATAGACTTCAGTGTCACCAACACTACTAATGTTATTATCTGACTAAAACCACTTCTGCCAGGTTCTGTTACACAATGACCATTTGATATTTTAGATTTAGTTCAAATTACACTTACCTCCCGTGAGGTATTGCATAATGACATGGGTCTCCCCTTCACAACTCCCCTAAAGAATAAGTTTTCAGAAAACAGGTTTAAAATGTAATCCTTGGAGAAGAACAGTGAAGCAGCCCTCTGCTTGTTACTTGAACTCATCCCAACAATATTGACATTTAGTGGAAACAAATTACGAGTTCCAACTGAATAGATAACGGCCCAGTTCCAGTTCGTACATTGCCATTGTATTTTGAACCGTAAAATGAGCATAATATTTACTTCATTGGCAAATGTAAACTCATCCGAACACAAAATCTTTTACACTGAAGAAAAAAGATTAACAAGGGCAAACACACTTTACCTATGATCATCGACTTCTATCTGTATTTTTTTAGCCCTAGTCAAAAAACCTGCATACGAAACCAAGTAAAAACTTAGTTATCATCACAACACATGTCACGAAACCAAGTCAAAAAATAGCTATCATCACAACACATATGAGATAATACATACATTCAGCCATTAATCAGATAACTTACCCCGGTGGAAGGAGTACTGGTGATTCAAGGCGAATGAAACTGGAACTAAAGAAACCACTACTCGTTGCGAGCAATTTACAGGGACAAGACCTCGCAATGCAAATGAAGAAATTAAGGAGCATCGTCCTTTACTGAACTGAGTGTGCGAATCAAGTTGAAACCTATGATGGTCGGTGAGATCGTTCGGCGACGCAGATGAATGAAATGATTTGTGAATTTCAGAGAGAGGAGAGAGGGCTGCAGCAGAAAATCGAGAGCCGAAGGAAGAGTAATCGTCGCGAAGGCGAGAGAGTAAGCGAGACGCTCGCATCAAAACCAATCTAGGGTTTGTGATTAACTTCTTCCTCTGCATGCTATGCTGAAAGCAGCATTTCCATGCAATGTGAGGGATAAATTCGAATTTTAGGGTTTCACAATGATGACAGTCGACTACAACAAGAGTAGACGGTCCCAAGATTCTCTGGTGCGGTATATACTGCTTACCCTGACAGAAACCAAACCCGTAAATATAAGTGGATAAACCCTAGCTTATTTATTCCAAAAGCCTAAATTGTTGTGTAGTGTTGCATACCCACTCATTTATGCTTAATCATTTTCTCTTTTGAATTCGTTACCCATGTAACATTATTTGTTACCCAAACTTGCAACGCCCTTATTGCTATCGGGCCAGCCTGTCTACCCGAATGGATCACCCGGAAGCCCAATTTGGCATGGCAACAGATAAAGGAATAGATCTGACTTTGATACCAACTGTAACAGATGAGTGCTTGCCCATTTATCTAAAACTTTAAATTATTGGGTAATATTACATATCCATCCATTTATACCTAATCACTCTCACATCTGAATTCGATGTGGGACAAATACCCCTTGTAACAATAGGGACGGGAATAACAATTATAGCGCTATGTCTCGGTCGCCCTCCTCTCTAACTTTCCTCTCTAACCTCTCTCTGCAATAACCTCTCTTCCCCTCCGTTTTCTCCCTGCTCCCTTCTGTGGGAGTGGGAAGGTACCGTTTTGCCTCACACAGCTTCAATAAACTCAGCGTGTGTAAATAAGTTCGCCCTGTGGGTGTTTTCACGCCGTTTTTGCTTTTGTTCAGCTATATCTACAGAAAACACATCTCAAAATGAGTTTCAGCTCATGTTTGGCTTGTTTTCGGTTAATATGGGTGGATCTGCTGTTTTCTCTACGACTAGATCTCTGATCTATATCGATTTTGGTTGTCCCTGACTTGATCTGATATTTTTCACTTGATTTGATCTTCTGTGGGTTTGGATGGTTTTCCCCTATCGGAAGCGCCTTGTGGATGTAACTTCGTAGTTGTTGCCTTGATGATGGTCAGGCCTTTAGGTCTTTCCTGTTGCGTGTAACTTCATAGTTGTTGCCTTGATGATGGTCAGGCCTTTATGTCTCTCCTGTTGCTGTTTTTCTCTCTGGGTGGTTTTCATTCTTGAGCTTTAGCTCTAGTTTTTAACAAATTTGGAGTCTATTCTTAATTTTTTCTTGTTATGCTTCAAAATTTATATGCATTTATCTAGCTTAGCTTTTGCCTCCATCCATTAATGGCTTGGCATTTGTGCCTTTGTAATGATAAATAATTTTTAAAAAAAAATAGCAATTATAACGGTGGTATAATAAATATATGTGTGTGTGTGTATATATATATATATATAGTATGATTAAGAGAGATAAATAAAACAAGAGAAATGAAATGAAGAATAATTCATTTATATGCTTTTTGTAATCATTTTTAAATCAATACATATATGCCTATTTATAGGCTCAAAATGAGGCTTCCTTTGTAAAATTCAAAATGAAGCTTCCACTGTAAGCCTTATGAAGCTTCCACTGTAAGCCTTAGTTATGATATTCCTCTTCACACCAAGGGTGTCATCATGGATGACTTAAACCATTGTGGATCCCACACAAACATGGATATATATATATATATATATATATATATATATATATATAACACTCCCATTTGGGATCCACAATACTACACTAAGAATATGCCTCGTTAAAATATTGCTAAGGAAAACCTAGTGGGACAAAACCCTAGCAAAGGAAAAACGAGTACAGTATTCTTGTGTATCTGAAAATGGTATTGCATAGATTAAAACTGCCTCATTACCAAGAAAACCCAGTGGGACAAAACCTGGACGAAGGAAAAATAGTACAGTATGCCAATACCTCTTCAATCAATTGCTCCCCCTTATTGTTACATTAGTTCATCCCTGAAGATCCTTCAATTGACGCAATCCAATGTTGTGCACTAACTTTTTGAATGTTGTTGGAAGTGTTTTAGTAAATAGATTTGCTAGATTTTCACATGAACGTATTTTCTGAATATCAATCTGTGATGCCCCTCGATTCTAGAGTCACGGGTGATCAAGTCCGAGCACAGATCCGAGGGATATTAGACAATCAATATGTAAACAAGCAAGAATAAAAACTGAATTAAGAATAAAATAATAATACGCTTAAAGAAATCTAAAATAAAAATCCTCAAACTTTAAATAGTAAATTAATATCATTTAAATCATTCTAATCCGTACAACTCGGAAATCCATCTAGTGAACCCCTAATAATCCCAAACGATAATTAAAAATACAGAATTTAAATCCAAAACTAAAAAGGAAATAAAATCCTATATAGTCGGAAGAGTGAGTGTCTGTATCTGCATCAACACGATCAAGCTCTAAGCCTGGCACTGACGAACACCTAAAAAATAGGAGTGGGTCAGGCCCACATGCAAGTTCCATTCTACTACAATCCGTACATAAACCCGATACACAGATACATCCTAGATAGCTCGGCAATATCTAAAATAGTCCATATAGATATAGATACACACTATAGGATATTCACTAACCTATAGTCATCACACCTGAGTATAAGGTAACACGCAAAATGCCGTGGCATAGTCATGCACACCTAGTGTAATGACCCGGGTATTGATTCAACCCGGTGTGTCAGTGATGAACCGAAGATTGACCCGATAACGGATCCACATGCGGAAGTAAGAAATAAAATGACGGTCTCTCAAGGCACTACACACCTCTAAGACACTTTAATGACCTTCCATGAGGTCATGGAACTCAATGAGAATTGACATGGAAGCAAAAGACAAACCAGAGTCTTATAAGATATAGACCATCTCTTAGATGCAAAAGTGACCTTCCATGAAGTCACGGAACCCAAGGAAATAACCGGAGTGGAAACTAGGATAAAAGGGTCAACTAACGCCCTATGGCACCAATGACATCCAAGGAAACAAGATATAGTTTAAACTAGACCGCGTACACCTTAAATAGCTTAACAAGATAAACAAGGTCAAGTGGGAACGAACAAAACGAAGTTAACCTGTCTGGGCAATAAACCAAACAAGATCCACAAGACAGTTCCATTTCGGTCGAACAAAATGGAGCATCGGTCTACCGAAATGAGCCAAGAAAAGAAGGGAAGTTAAAAGGAGCTTCGGTCGACCGAAATAGAGAACCGGTCGACTGAACTGGGTCCAAACCGTGAAAATGGCTACTGGAATGGAACTTTTACTGTTCAAATGAAACCACAAAGGGAATCGGTTGACCGAAATGGCTCGAAAATGTGTATATGAACCTGTTATGCACCAAAAATGAAGAAAGGATCCTAAGTCTTATTTGAAACCCACATGGCATGATCAATTTACATTATATGCTAATGTGTGATGATGTGAACATACACGCAAGTGTAATATAATATTTTAAACATGCTGCAATAGCCTACGGCCTCATTACATTTCATTTACAAGATTTGACATGCCAAACCTCCAAAGTTGATAAAAAAATACATTTCAAAGGCAAAACTTGAAATTTAATTACATACACTTGAACTTGAAGGTTTATGGCCCTTAGCCTCATGTCATACATGTCAAATACATTGGAAAGAGTGTACATATGTACACTTTATATACATAAAATCAAGGAATACAAGTTTTGTCATGAGAAACTACAAATCACCCAAGGCAATGAAATATTCAAATCTTGAATCCTGTACCTGAACAATACCCCCAGTAACTTTGGGGTGAGTAAACAAGTTTACTCGTAGAGAATGAGCATGCATCGACTCGATTTCTTTCAGATTTTTAGATTGACATGCAATTCAAAAGGATCATGCCACCTAACGTCTACGTCAAGATGAGACTCAGGGATCATCTTAAGCTACCATAGAGCAACATCAACAAGAATCATGATACACGTTCATATATGAAACGAATCAAGGTTGGGATAATCCAAAGAACACGACAAGAAGGACGTTTGAACATAGATTTACATGAATTGAATTATCAATACAATTAACATGATTAGAGCATTCCAATTAACACGATAGGAGTAATACACGAAATCAAGAATAAGGCATAATATCTATACAATTAAACAAGATTGAAACATTCCAATTAGCAAGACAAGAGTAATACATGAAATCAAGAACAAGGCATAATATCTATACAATTAAACAAGATTGGAACATTCCAATTAGCATGACAAAAGTAATACATGAAATAAAGATCAAGGCATAATATCTATGCAATTAAACGAAGATGGAACATTCCATGAAACACGAAAAGAGTTATACATAAGATCAAGAACAAGGCATAATATCTATGCAAGTAAACAAGATTGGAGCATTTCACATACACGAAAAGTTTAAATCTTCAAGGAATAGCAACTTAAAATTTAAAGAGTGAAATCAACCAATGTGGAAAACTCGGATATCGCCCGGATTAAAACCGTACTCTTGAGATCACTTTAGGGCTACTAACCCATGGGTACCTTTCCCCTAGTGTGCACTATAGTGTAGGAGGACATTCCCCCGTACTAGAACCAAGTCCTAGCCATGTCAATTCTTGATTAATATCCCAAGTCCCAAAATCAACAAGTTGTGCAAACCAAGATAGTATCAAAATACAAAAAATGCATTAACCACGTTTCACGCACAACTAAGATTTTGGAACACACAAGTCATGCCCTAAGTTCATCAACTATAATGGCATGTGAAATGTCAAGAAATTATAGTATGTATCTATATAGATTAAAACCAAGATATATAGCATAAGAAATCCATTGAAGTACATATACCACAAGTTTAAGATACATGATTCAATTACCTACTAAGCAACACATGAGTAATTAAATCGTTCCAAGACAAATGTGCAAGTTCATGAAGTACATTAATGAAATCAAGATACAAGGGTTCACACGCTTGATAAAAAGGTGGAAGTTCATGAAATACAAGCACAATTCACAAGTTTAACAAGAATTCAGTATCAAGGCATGATTAACTCGATGGAAGCATACAAATGAATTTAATCTACTTAAGGGATTAAATTATCAAGATTACTAGGCAAGTCCAATTATTCCACGAATAAGGCATGTCAAAGGTCATGTCAATGACAAGTTTAATATCAAGATACAAGTTCATTTCATACAATATACGACCATG